GGCTGGCATGTGGTGCTGGGGGATTGAACCGCGGTCCCAGTGCTTTGCTGAGCTTGTTCTAAGTAGGTGCTTTAGACCACTGAGCCATCTCACCAGCCCTTCTTTGCGTTATTTTTCTTCTCCTCACATATCACTATTTGATTACATACATAGGTAAGCACGCACACAGAGTTTATAGTTGGTAATTATACCATATGTGTGTATTTCTCATTATTACTCTAACTCCATTGCCCCTTCTGAACCTCTGAAAAACTCCCTGGAGGTCAGGAATTTATATTTTTTTTTATCACCACTGGGTCAGAGTACCTTGAGTCGAGCCAAGTACAACATAGATGCTCTATATTTCTCTCTCTGTCTCTGTCTCTGTCTCTCTCTCTCTCTCTGTCCCTCCTTCCCTCTCTCTTTTTCTCTCTCTCATTCTGTATTTCTTCAGTCAACCACCAAACAAATGAACAACATCGGACACATAACTGGAATTCCATAAATGAAAGTTGAAAAGAAAAGCAAAGATTGCAACCATCTGAGTTCAAAACGTAGTGTAAATCTGCAGTGACCCAGCCAGCGTGTTATTGGCATAAATATAGAAATACAGATCAATGAAATATCCAGAAATATGCCCATATGGACATAGTTACTGATTTTATGAAAAGGTGCCGAGTCAATTCAACAATAATGTTTGAAAGTTCACTCGAGTCTTTTCAACAAATGACGGTGGAATGCTTGGACAACCAGATGCAAAAATAATGAGACTAAATCCATAAAGTAAGATGCTGACTTGAAATGGACCACAGAGCTAAACAGACTTAAATGTGAAAGATAAATTTCTCAAACCCTTAGAAGGAACCCTGGCAGAAAAATCTTTGTGACCTTACATTAAACAAATAATTCGTACAATGCAAGAGTCTTTTCAATCACAAAAATGGACATTTTAATGCCCAGAGGAAATGCTGAAAAATCTTTTCATCTTCAAAAAGCACTATTAAGAAAATGAAAGGGCAAGCCACGGACCAGTAAAATACTTGCAAAGCGCATATATATATATATATATATATATATATATATATATACCTGCAAAGAACTCCATACTATGCAATAAGAAGACAATCTTTTTAAATAACTGAAATATTTGAACAGACACTTTTTTGAAAGGTAATATTAAAATTCCGAATAGGCACATGCATTGCTACTAATTAGGGAAGTACAAATTAAAACCTACAATGAGATTTTTACCATCCGTGCACTAAAATAGCTAAAGTGTCAAAGATGAATAACACCAGCTACCGCTGAGGGTGTCGAACAATTCGAAGTTTTCCACAGCACAGCTAGGAAGGCCAAGGGCTGCGGCCACTTCGGTGCCTCTTCAAAGGTGAAAAGCCCACTTAGCTTAAGACCCAGCAATTCTACTCTTAGGCATGACTCAGGAAAAATAAAAACATATGTCGCCTGGAAAACTTGTTCTCAAACATATCTAGCAGATTTATTCATAGCCAATAACAGGCAAGACTCCTAATGTCCCTCAACCAGCGAATGAATTAACAAATTATAGCACATCTCTATAACAGACCTTTTTTAAAAAAATGTATTTAGTACAAGATCTATAGGGTCTCAGTACACAGATCGGACTCACAGTGATCCTCCTGTTTTCAGCTTCCCAAACGCTTGGATTACAGGCACGCGCCACCACGCCCAGTCTCACTTGCCCTCTCAGTACCCCCCGGGAGCAGAGCCAGCAAGGCAGGCCAAGGATCGGACCCCAGTCCCCAACTCTGCCTAAGCAGGTACTTTAATCTGCTGAGCTAACTGGCCAACCCTCTACAATAGACTACTGCCCAGGAAGATCAGGGAAGGAATTAGGAATATTCGAGAGCAGGGCAAGTCTCAGAAATATTCTGTTCCATGAAAGAAGAGTATGCTTCTGTGTGTACGATGTCCTAGGAAAGGCAAAATGCTAATGACAGAAGGCAAATCAGCAATTGCCAGGGCTGCAGAGACAGCTAGCAGCCTCGATGCCCATCAGAATTCAAGGTAAGCCTCAGCCCTGGGGTACAGAGTGCGGTGTACACTTCTGTCAAACACCTGCATGGCGGATGATGGAATGCACTTCTGTCAAATACGATACATCTGCATTCTCCTCCTCCAGAAAGACTCAGCCATGCAGCAGCCGCTGCCTGTCACTGCTGGCTTTCCTGCCAAGCAGCTGGATGACCTTAACCTCCCCGACAACATCAGAGCAATGACTAACATTGACGCCCTGATGAAATCACTTACCTCCTGTGTGAAATGGAATCCTAAGAGTCCCCACCTCTCCAGCTTTTTGGGGCAGGGTGAAAGTACGATTAAGGGCTACTTGGCTGAAGCTCAGTGAACACTAGCCTGTTGTACGCTGATGGTAGGCTGGGCCTTTGTTCATGTACCAGGCTGTGTTAAGGTCTTTAAAGACATTATTCCATGTCCTCTGATAAAGCTGCTTCCTATTTTGCTCTTACAGATGAAGGCTGAGGACCAGAGAGGCGGGAGGACTCAAAAGTCACACTGCTGACAAATGATTATAAATCGAGATTCCAATTCAGACCTGCCTGACAGCTACTGGAATCTCTTCTTTCCCTTCTCTTATTTCTGACTCACTAGAGAGTCACTTCCTGTCTCCATTAGCTCCTTCAGAGGCCCTTCTGCTCCCTGAGTCCTCCACCCCTCTATGGCACACCCTGTGCTGTGCTACCTGGAATAACATGAGATGCCCCAGTGGCCACGAGGCCTTTGTTGTCAATGCTGTCTCCGATTGCTCCTCGTGGCATTTACCCTCTCTGGTACCGTAGAGTTAATATTTTGCAGATTATCAATACACACACACACACACACACACAGCCCTGTGCATACAATGTAAACACTCCGCAGTAGCCAATCTACACCTGTAGGGCAGGTGGGGCTCTAGGACCCTGACTGTGCACACACAACTGGTGTAGTCAGGACGTGGGAGAAGGAGCTTGCGTGACCTTCACCCAGCACTTGTATTTTTATAGATAGGGAAACCCCAAGAGAGCAAATGCGCACCCCTGGCTCACACAGCAGGTCGGGGTGAAGCCACAGAGCAAGGCTTGAATGCCCGTGGCTCCCCATCAAGTCAGGGATGGCTTCCGTGTCACATCCCCCTCCTCGTTCAGGCCCAAAGGAGCAGAGACCCAAGACTGAGCCCACTCCCCTCTCTAAGTCTCACTTTTTATGAATTTAATGTCTCATAGCAGGGCTGGCATCCAGGGCCCGGGGCGTCTGGCCTCGGCCTCCTGTTGGCGCTCTGATGTCACGGCCAGAAGATCACATGCAATCAGCAAGATGCAGTCAGATGACGACTGTGTATGTATGTCCAGAGGCTGCATCCATCCAGCTCATTCTGAGATGACATGTTTTATAAATCCTGCAGTTCTCCATTCCTTACAGTGTTGTTGCAGTGGTCAGCAGTGTGTGTGTGTGTGTGTGTGTGTGTGTGTGTGTGTGCATGTGTGGGGGTGTGCATGCATGTGTGTGCACATATGTGGGGGAGGGTTCCAGCTCTTATTTTGTTCAATCGAAAGCACTCCCTAATTTTGGGTGTTTGGGCATCTTTTCCTTTGTATCCCTGGAGCTACCTGGCAGAGCGGGTGTGGCCTCGCTTCTTCTAGTTCCTGCGCGGTTCTGGGCCCTGCACCCGTTTGCTGTTGCTTTTCCCAGACATTGGTCCCCACTGTCTCAGCTCCCTGGAGCACACAGGTCCCTGGAGTGCTGTATAAACAGGACGGTCTCCGCTGCACAAGCTCAGACAGGACTTGCTTGTTATGCAACGGGTTTACAAAATTTTCCTTTTGCCCCTTTAGATAGCCCCGCCCCGCCCCTGTCTGCAGGCTGCTCTGTGGGTGACTTGGCATGAGACATCAGTGCAAGAAAAACAAGTCAAAGGCTCGTGCCCGTGATGGTGAAATCCTCACTCACTCCGTGGGCAGCCACAGAAAATGGGTATCGGGTCATACCTGAGCCGTTGGACTATGTGACCGCGTGCCACGTGCCACAGCACGATGCCGAGGCTCCTGAAGGGCAGCTATTTGGGAGTGTGTGTTTGTCATAAACCCAAAGTATGAGTGAAGAGCCATGACAAGCGAAGGAAAGAACTATTACCTAACTGGTGACTCAGGATGAGCTTGTACTTCTGTTGCACACAATGATTATTGAAGACTTTTTATCCATCACAGAGACTTTTTAATCCAACATTTGTCACACTGGGGGCTGGGGAGATAGCTTGGTGGTCTAAGCTCCTGCCTAGCAAGCGCCAGGACCCAATTCAATCCCAGGTGCTGCAGGCCATGCCAGCCCCGGCGCCCCCAGGCACATTGTAACCTGGCATGGTGGCACACACCTGTAATCCCAGAACTGGGGAGGCTGAGACAGGAGGATCACTGTGAGTTCAAGCTGTGTAGTGAAACCCTGTACACAGGGTTTAAAAATAAAAGACTTTTTTAAAAATTAAAAAAAAAATGGTCCCAATTTATGCCATCAGTGGCTACTGGGGTTCAGTTGGAATCCCTGGAAGAGACAGTATGTAATGAAAGTACACAAATTCCTTAAAATGTAAGTCCAAACCTGCCTGCCCATGGCTCAGCCTGAGCACTGACTCTTCGGTTCACGTGTTTTCTCTCCTGAGTAGTCTGACTATAAATCAAAGGAAGTATTTACCTCGAGTCCAGATTTAGAGTCCAGGTCCCAAGGAAGAAGATGTAGAACCCAAGCTCACATTAGTAACAAGTCCCAGGAATTCAATCTGGCCTGAGAATAAATCCAAGAATGTACCACTTGACCCAGCAGAGAAGCCGAATGGACCACTCACCTCAGCGCGGGTAGCCTCGGGGCAGGCAGGAGAGATCCTCTTCCACTTCTGGACTCTCCCAGGCTCCATGGCATGACCCCCGAGGGGTCCTGAGGTGAGCTTTCACCATGTGCTTACCACAGCAGTTGCCTGTAGGTCAGGTCCTGACACTCTTCATAGCTAGCGAGTCCAAAACACATACACAGGTGCTGGTGAGATGGCTCAGTGGTCTAAAGCACCTACTTAGAACAAGCTAAGCTAAGCAAAGCACAGGGACCGTGGTTCAATCCCCCAGCACCACGTGCCAGCCAGCCCCGCCCCCTGGTGGGCTGAGCTGGCCACACAAATAAATAAATAAATAAATAAATAAAATTCAAAACACACACACACACACTTTTTCCCAGTAACCGTAACAAAAGTCACAGGCAAGAACCTAACTGGGCCAGGAAGCCCCCGTCCCTTGCTGGCCTTCCTGGGTACGTCCAGTTGTTCCCCATTACCAACCGTGCTGCTAGGGCAATTTCTTCCAGGCCTCCCTCAGGGGTTCCCCCTAACAGATACTGTGGAGCACAGAGGTACTGCTTTCCTTGAACACTAGAGGCAATTGCTGCCTTGCGTGGAGGAGCCATGGGGTAAGAAGAAAGGAGGAATTTGAAGCCAGTGCTCATGCACTGGGGCCAAGAGGGGTCTCCCTCATCAGAGAGGTGCAGGCATTGCTTCCAGCCCAGGCTCCCTCAGGGGCCGGCAGGGCAGCGGAACTGGCAGGCCCCGATGGCAGTATGGAGGACATTGTTAGCTCTCTCTCTGCCGCCGTGTTACTGGCCCTGGCCGAGAATGGGACAGAAGCCCTGGAGCACTGTAGGTGCAGGGGATGGAGGGTAACCCCTCCGCTGTGCTGAGGAGGCTGGGAGAGGAAAATTCAAGTACAGGAGCTATGTGCTCGGAGTCCTACCTGGCGCTCCACTGAATACCACAATCACCTGCCCTCCTCTGGTGGGTGGAGCAAGTCCCTGTGCCGCACACAGAGACCTCATCTGGGCAAGGACTGTCACAGTGACCTCTGAACTTCGTCTCCCTCTTCCTTTAGAGGGCTATTCCTCGGGCATGAATGCTGAGTCTTAATGAACTCCAGGCAGTGGATTTCTAGCCTTGAGAAAAATCTTAATATGGTTCTACAGTTCGGCTCTCGAATGTGTCCCACAAACCCAGGTTCCTTGAGGTCCAAGGTGGCTCTGCTAGGCGGTGATGACGCCTTGACGAGGCAGAGTGTAGAAGGTCTTCAGGTGCCCGGGCTGTGCTCCTAAGGGGACTATGGTCCCTCTGCCTCTTTTGTGTCCTGGTCCTGAGGGAGCAGTTTGTGTTCCATCCGGATTGCTGCCTCTCCACAGCCCCAAAGCAAAGGGGCCGACTGACCCTGGACTGCACCCTCCAAAACTGTGGGCAAGACAGCCCTTTTCTTTCCATTATCTCAAGTATTTTGTTAGCGTGTTGGCAAGCCAGTTAACACACGTGGGCTCATAGGGCAGAATGAACAGGATGTTTTGGTGCTTTAAAAAAGAATTGTCTATAGCTTCCCGCTTTTTTCCTGCCCCAACCATTTCTACTTAGCCTTAAATTTTCTTTAAATAATACATGAAATGGGTTTTTCTTTTAATTTTTTTATTTATTTATTTGTGTGTGTGTGTGTGTGTGTGTGTGGCCAGCTCAGCCCACCAGGGGGCGGGGCTGGCTGGCATGTGGTGCTGGGGGATTGAACCGCGGTCCCTGGGCTTTGCCAAGCTAGTTCCAAGTAGGTGCTTTAGACTACTGAGCCATCTCACCAGCCCATGAAATGGTTTTTAAAGCAGCATGAGATATGTCACAAGACTGTAGGTGCCGGGGATGGAGGTACTCTGTTTTTTAAATGAAGTCTACAATAGTCAGAATACCACTTCAGAGAGGATTTTCGTCCAAACCAGGTCCCCAGATCTTTCTGTTCTAAGGCAGCTGAAGGCTACACTCCTGGCGGCACTCTAATGAATGACAAAGTTCTACCCAGGCTCAGGGCATGGGGTTAGAGCTGCTGGGGAATTTGGAAGCCCAGACTCCAGTCTGAGGCAGTTCCTCTGAACTCTACTCAGCTAGGAGAACGGGGCATTTCCTCCTCTCATTTCCTCCGAACCTGTTTGGGAGTGTCCGGGGCAAGCCTGTCACGAACAGGCCTTCAATAATCAGGCCTAAACAATCAGACCAATGGACAACATGTCTATTTCCGGAGTTAGATTCTAGAGATAGTAAAGACCGAAAGGGAGAGGGGCGGGAGAAGTTGGGCCAGCCCCATGTTGCAAGTTCCACACACTTAGATTTCACTCCTCTGGGACTTGTTGTTACTAACAATGGCCCTTTTAGCCACAGAATGCAGAATAACACCCTTTTCTAGCCTGCCAGGGAGAACTACCAGCATATATTCCTAAGTATTTCCGTACGAAATGCACTTGGAAAGGGGATTGTTTCAAGCCTGGACAAAGCTCCTACTGTACTTTAGGGCTGCAGCGCCAGTTATTTTAGGCAAGAAAGGGGAATTTCCACCGCTCCCTGCAATCAGCCTTGAGGACTCAGCTCTGAGTAACCACTTCCTTGTACGCTGTCAGAGCCCAAGTTATTTAACAGAGAAGGAAAATAAACCCTTGACAGTACCCATAAAACCCCAGGCAAACAAGCCAGTTTATATCAGCTCGTGTATTCAAGGAGCCAAGCGGTGA